AAATGTATAAATCCCGACGAATAGTACGAATATGTATTATAAACTACCTATATTCAATAATAAACTTAATTTTTTTGTAAATTAATCTTTCTTATAATAAGGCTAATCGATTTGATTGACTCTCTGTGACACCCTCAGGCTGTCCCACGAACCTCCAAAGAAGGCAAAAGAGAAACCTCATAAAAATAGGTGGTTTATATAATTTGTACATGATATTTAATATTACCCACAATTTATTACATATCCGAAATTTCTTGAACGAAAAGTTTAGGCATGATAGCCCATGGGTGCACCCACATAGTACAAGATGTCCAAAGGATGTCCAATGGACGTCATTTGGACATCCTGTGCTGTGTGAGCAGGAACGTCCAATCTAGGTAATTCTCGACTTAGCCAGGCCGAACGGGTCTGGGACATCCATAGAACGTCAATTATAGACCTGGTCCGGCTAAGCCTTATTTGGCTTACTTTGGACGTCCAAAATACGCCTAATCAGGCTAAGCCGGACAGGGTCTAGACTTGACGTTCTATGGATGTCCCAGACCCGTTCGGTCTGGCTAAGCCGAGAATTACCTAAATAGGACGTCTGTGGGTTATCTTGTGCTATCTGGGTATGAGTTAAAAAATAAGCCCCTATTAAAAAAAATCATCAAAATGAAAAATATAAATAAAAATATTATAGGTATTAAAAATTTAAAAGCAGAATACTGATTGTCGTTTTTACTTGTAGTTTAAACTTTGTTTTTTTTGTATTTCATTACATATTTTGTATAACTACTTAGTATTTTTTATTTATCACTACCCTAATTCTAAATTGTATGAGTTAAAAAATAAGCCCCTATTAAAAAAATTCATCAAAATGAAAAATATAAATAAAAATATTATAGGTATTAAAAATTTAAAATCAGAATACTGATTGTCGTTTTTACTTGTAGTTTAAACTTTGTTTTTTTGTATTTCATTACATATTTTGTATAACTACTTAGTATTTTTTATTTATCACTACCCTAATTCTAAATTGTATGAGTTAAAAAATAAGCCCCTATTAAAAAAATTCATCAAAATGAAAAATATAAATAAAAATATTATAGGTATTAAAAATTTAAAATCAGAATACTGATTGTCGTTTTTACTTGTAGTTTAAACTTTGTTTTCTTTGTATTTCATTACATATTTTGTATAACTACTTAGTATTTTTTATTTATCACTACCCTAATTCTAAATTGAAAATGAAAACAAGATTTTTGACCATTTTGTAACTTTGTCCCGCTTTTGGACTTTTAGGATCTGGTCACTTTATATTAGTCTGACTTACTAAGACTTATTCAGACTTTTTTCGACTTAACTCTTATTTTTACTTAAGTTTTAATAATTATTAAAACTTTTTCAGAAAAAAATTTCCACAAGGGCCAGGCTTAAACCTAGACAGCTCCCTAAATTTTAGTGATCATTTGTACCAACTAAAAACCAACATTACAACAACAAAATTATTATCTTTGCAAGAACTCCAAGTTACTAAGTAAAAAAACAAAACTGTTATTTAACAAATCCAGGACCAAACGTACCATCCGTGCATTGTAGCTTCTGTTTTTTAATAAAAAAAATTATAAAATTTTTTGGATGTCACTGACCTATCCTATATATCATCATTGTTTTTACCTCTAAAAAGCAAAAAAGAAACAGGTATGCGCACAGTGTATTATGTAATATGAAGCAAACTTTTAAACTTATTTCAAATCGGTTAGTACTTTGTTATCATTGATTACTGATAGTTCGGTTGTTATTTTTGATACTCGTATGTCCGCATTATTCAACGCATATTCAATGCGATTTCCCAACGCCGAGTATACCGACGTCATATTTTAAGGAAAATGCCATGAAAACGCGAACGGTGCCGCTCAACTGTATGCGGAGACTTTTCTCCATAAGTATCATCCTGATCGTAGCACAATCGTTCAGGCTATCCAAAGATGTAGCTACATGAGCATCAATCGACGTAAAAAGTGAAAGGTGAAATTTAAAATCGACGGAAAAACCACGAAAACCTCGAGATACCTAACAATAAAAAGTAAGTATTGTTTTATTCAAAGTACCTACCTACCTAAAAATAGCGAAGTATGCAAAACAAAAAACAATTATGAACAAGTAATCAATGATAACACAAATGTAAATTTTTAATAAAAGTAGAGTATTGCCCACTGTGCAAGCATTAAGGTTGGGTTGGTTGGTTTGTTTTAGTTTTATCGTAACATAAAATGTACTAGAAGTTGTCGAACTTTTTTTATTTCATAAATTTGTTGTTCCTTTGTTAAAAAGTGTTTTATTTTTATCGTAACATAAATTTGCCCATTTTAGTTGGGTTTTTTGGTCAATGGGGCAGGGGGGGCCAATGGGGCGGGGTCGGTTGGGTTGTGTTGTTGAGTTTGTGTTGGTTTGGTTTTATGACGTAACTAACGTGCCTTTAACATTTCGAATCGCGGCACATTTGTCAATTAAGCGATCATGCGCAGTAAGAGGAGCCGCCAGTGGCATTTAGCGTCTCGTTATTTCTGGGTCTAAAACATCAAAAGTTTTGCATAAGTCAAGAAGCACTGCAAGTACCACCTTTTCTCTATCCAGGTTTTTGTATTTGAATTCCGTGAGATTTATGTATGGTGTTTGGGTACTTTAAAGTAAATTTTGAAATCTATTTTGTTTTGGGATTAAAAATTGTATTTTCTCCAGAAATTCAGAGAGCCTCCTATATATACAAGGTGTCCCTAAACTTATTGGCATAAATTTAGGATAAGATTAAGCAAGTCAAAATAAGACGAAAATCTAAATAAACATTTTTCCTAATTACTTATGTTTCCAAGATACAGGGTGATAAAGAGTTACTTATCATATCAGTTTTTTTAATATAACCTCTACTATGGTAGTCTTGGAAAGGTGATATTTTGCGAACAGTCACTTACTACCAAAACACATATTCACACATAATTACAATTGTTTGAGTGAACACAGTGTCGTAGAAACGGGGGTTGCTTTAAGCTTATTGTCCCATACAAACTTTGAGGTTAGGTTTTTATAACATTTGGTGCAATTTTTCGATTACACAGTTCGGCTACCATTAAAAAGGTGTACCTCTCAAACTTCGATAAAATAAACCGTTTCCGAGATATTCGAGATTACAATAATTGTTATATCGCATTATTTAAAAGGATTAAAAGGTATATGATAACAAATTTTATTTTTTAATTGAAAAATCTAAAAAGGGCATTCCATGAGCCTCGGGACTTTTTCCCCTGACCGTCACATTAAAAAAATTGTAGTTTTTTCAATTAAAAAAATTGTTATACAAATCCGGTTAAAATCGCACAATAAATAAAGATTTTACAGGGGTGAGTCACAAACAAATGGGTCACACTGTATACATGTATACGGCGTTTGTTATTATTATTTTTTTATTTTAAGTTATTTTATATTAAAATATAGAAAAAAAACGGCATCCTTCTGGATTCTTTTTTACCGGTGCTCATATGGCTACTAAAAGAAAAAATTACATCACGAGAAAGGCGCCCATCTTCAAAATCTCTATGGGTTTTCGCAAGGGTTTTCGTTTCTTGTGTAAAAAAGCCACAATTTATCTTTATTACAAAGCAGTTCTTAAAAATGCCATTTTGTTAAAGAAATACAGGAACGAAAAAAAACACAACATTTTGACACTGAACACTCAAAAACCCCAAACTTTTGATTAAGTGTGTAGCAAATGCCAATACGCATGGGTACGATCATCTTAAAACGACTGCGCATAGGTACGGTCATCTGGTACCCCCTGCGCATGGGTTCGATAATCTAAAGACCACATCGCATGGGTACGGTGATTTGAACTAATGCGCATAGATGCAGCCATCTGGTACTTACTGAGCATAAATACAATCCGACAATTAAATTTCACAATCAACAACTCACCAGTTTTATGACATGGTATGGTATAGGAAGTTTGTATTAGGAACGCATAAACAAACATACATTGATACACTGCTATATTCCTGGATATCAGCAAAGCATTTGACAGCCTCTGGCATAAAGAAATAATAAACAAACAGCACCAGATAAATTGCTCAAACAGCATTCTCAAAACATTTATGCAATATTTAGATAACAGAAATATTAAACAGTCGAAAAAAAGCATTTACAACATGGCGAAGAATAGTATATTCTGTAACAAGTTTGGAATAAAGCATATTCCGTTCGAGTAAAAAGTTTCTCACACGAGCCAAAGGCGAGTTTGACGGTTTCACGAGAGCGGAATATGCAATTTCAAACGTGTTTCAGACTATACTTTTTTTACGTTTCCTTAATATTCCATAGAAAAATAATTTAATTGGGAGAAAGTAAGGTTGGATCGCTCTAAAATTTGTTAGATATTAAACACAGAGATGTCGCCACCAGTGTTTATTCCGTCATTCGATGATAGAATAATTCATTCTGTAATACTTTAAGGAATATATATCATTCCACATTAAAAAGTGATATTAGAACGGGCATATTCCGTAAATAGGAGTAGAAAAAGCATATTAACTGCTTCGTCCAAGGTCTTGGAAGCGAAAACTAAGCTCCGCCTTAAATAAGCGCTTTCTCCGCCAGTTAGATAATGTACCATTATCTTTAAGGCACAAAATAATTAGTAAAAGTAAAAAGTAAGATTAGGTAGATCTGAGGGAGCTGTCAGACCACAAGTTCTCATAAATATGAATATGAAATAGAAATACAAAATTGTATTAAAAAGGGTAGGTAAGTAATATTATTAAAAAGCAAATTATATATTCAAGTATAATAAAAATACAAGTACAAGTTCTTAAAATATAAAATAATCACAACAGAGAAACGGAAAACAGATTATAAATTGTAAATAATGTTGCTTATTTAAATGTACAAAAGTACAACTGGTCATACAAAATTTAACATTTAGTGTACATTTCAAAACAAATAATATTACAATTTTAACCACATAAATTGTTTTACAGTCACATACAATTAACTGTAGATATAGTATATGTAATAAATTTAAATTTGTTAGAATATAAGTAACAAACAATATGTATAAAAATAAATAAAAAAGTACCTACTTGGTTTTCTTTGAGAACGAACATACCTTTAACCAATAAATATATTAATTGCTTTTAACACAGATGTTTTACAGTAGTAATATTTATCAAAAAATATTATCTTCACAATGACAGTATAGTGGATGAAGCAGTCTAAAAAAAAGAAGAATAATTATTTTAGTTTTATTTTAAAATAAAAATAGTTATCACATATATGTATATAATTGTATATGTTTATTAGGGTGATTTAAATAATCTACTAATATTTTTGTTGACTTTTGTGATATCGAAAAATTGGTTGCTGGGGCCCAGCAGCTGGGCACCTCAAAAGAAGCCTATATACGTATGAGCTTTTGCTATTAAGAGTAAGATCCTCCTTATCGCAATTTTTTCATTCACTTATTTTCTTAAGCTTGATATACACTGCTCGTCAAAATTAACGCATAACCTTAGAAGAACAAGTAAAAAAATTCAACTATAAAACGCCTTTACCAATCTTTATAAAATTTTGGATAAAAATACTTTAACTTACGTGTTCAAAGGTTTTTCGAGAAAATATCCTTAAAGCCCCTTTATTTAATATCTAATAAAAACGCTTAATTTATTTTTTTTGAAGTAAATAAAAAATATGCTGTGAAAGACCGTATTTTTGTTAGTATACCCTAAAAATCAAACGAACATTAAAAAAAATACAGCAGTCGTCAAAAATGACCACTTTTCAGCAAAATAATCAAAAAGGGGTCGTATTTTTATACAAAATTTCATGAAGATTGGTAAAGTCGTTTTAGATTTAGAATGTGAAGAATCTTTAAGACTACTTCTAATTTTATTTATTAAGCTCTGATTTAAGATATAGCCCCTCCTTTGTTACTTGTGCTCCTGTATTTCGAATCAAAATACTTGTATTCTTTTTAGAAAAATAAATTTAAAAAATGCACATATTTACCTTTTACTCAACTGTCACACTCTTGGCTAAGTTTCGTGGACAATCTACGTTACATCCTTTCTTTACTGCGATATGGAATGACAAAAGTTGCATGGGAATAACTGTCAAAATACCTTGAAGGCAATCCACTGTTTTTGGCACTTCCAAACATTTGTAACCTAGGCTTAGGGTTTCTTTATCGTTTTCTTCGCAGATGATAATCGGTTTTCCGTTACGAGAAATAACTTGTTGTAATGCATTCATACATTTGATATATACAGGATCTTTCATGACAATAAAGAGCACCGGCATGGTTTCGTCGATAAGTGCAAGAGGTCCATGTTTCAGTTCTCCAGCCATAATGCCTTCACTGTGCATGTAGGTCAATTCTTTTACTTTTAGTGCTCCCTCCAAGCAAGTGGCAAAGTTAAAACCACGTCCCATCATCAAAAGCGATCTCTTCTGGTACAAGCTTTCGGCTAAAGCTTTAACTTCTTGATCTAACTTCAATACTTTTCTGATTTGATCCTGCAATTTTCCCAGTCCATCGATGATTTCCTTCCTTCTTTGACGCTGAGAAATTCTGTCTTCACTCATCACCAACGCGAACATTACCAAGGAGATGAACTGACTTGTGTATGCTTTAGTGGAAGCGACACCAATTTCGGGACCAGCGTTGATGTGAACACCACAGTGTGATTCCCTACAAATTGAGCTACCAACAGTGTTGGTGATGCCAACAATAAGAGCTCCTCTCTGTTTGCAGTAACGCAATGCCATCAGAGTGTCAGCGGTTTCGCCTGATTGGGAGATAAAGAAGCATACGTCGTCCCTGAAGACTGGTGTTGTACGATCCAAGAAGTCACTGGCAAGTTCAACCATCACTGGCAATTCTGTGAGTTCCTCAAGCAGCTGTCTGGTAGCAATGGCACTGTGGTAACTGGTTCCGCAACCGATCAGCATTAATCTACGACATCTTTTAATTTCTGGGACGAATTCGGTGATGCCTCCCAAAGTTACTTTCTAAAAAAGTTTGTATTAGTATTAAAAATATTTGTAACTTTAGACATAAATTATATTTAATTTATAAAATTGAACGCAAATTGGTACTTTTGATAAGTAAACAGGACGGATTTATAAAAAAACAATTTTATAATAGTATATTCTGTAACAACACGAGCCGAAGGCGAGTTTGACGGTTTAACGAGAGCGGAATATGCTATTCCAAATGTGTTTCAGACTATACATTTCCAAAATATACCATAAAAAATAATTTAATTGGGAGAAAGTAAGGTTGGATCGTACTAATAAACACAGAGATGTAGCCACCAGTGTTTATTCCGCCATCCGGTGATAGAATAATTCAATCTTTAACACTTTAAGGAAAATATGGATAACGTTTATCGAAAAGTAAAGCGCCAAAAGCTTTTTCTGGAGTTAACAAAATTATTTGCAAAATAACTCATTTTTAATGCTGTTCAAAAAATTAATAATGATTTGGGAACCCTCTCAATCCTTTTGAGAAAATGATAATCAACCTTTAGAGCATTAAAAATTAAAATTAAAAATGAGTTATTTTACAAATAATTTTACCAAGCTCAGAAATAGTTTTTGGCGCTTGGTTCCTTTTCGTTAAGCGTTATCCATATGTAATTCCACATTAAAAAGTGATATTAGAACGTTCAAATTCCGTAATATGAGTAGAAAAAGCTATTAAGGTCCTACATTGACGTATTTTTTACATTTACGTTGCTCATATTTTAGGGTTTTATTGAAATTTTCGTATGATGTTTATTGTTATAATTAATTTTGAAATTATAATAAAAGCTATTCAGGCCAATTCACTAACATAAGGTGGTTATAGGTCGATTAAATATGACGATAACCACTAATTCTAGTGGCTAACGTTAACGACCAATGTTAGTGAATTGGCCTGATTATTGCAATAAGTTGCAATAAGCATGAGATGTGAAAATTGGGTGTAACGAGTGGTTCGCCACGTCAAATGCTTAAAAAAATAAAATATGTTTCATTTTTAAACACTAGTGCTTAACAAAGTAACAATCAAAAAGTCACTATTATAAAACGCTGTAACAAAAAATTAATTTTATCTTTTTTTTCTGTATATAACGATAAATAATAAAAATTCCCTGCCTAACAAAGAAAATAATAAACTCCCTATACAGTGGCGGCTGGTGGATTTTGGGTATACCAATATCTCAGTTATTAGACATGGGACCCACACCAAATTTATAATAGTTTATAATGACATTAAATGAACAAGTTCGGCGCAAACAGAATTTAAATTGAAGTTTGCGAAAAAAAGTTAGTTTTTCCTGTTGCCTTACCCGCCTCCAGGTTCCCCTATTTGAGATAATTCAAATTAAAGTGGTGCAATTTATTATCTACTATAATTTATCGACAAATTTAAAATTTTATTTAAAAAATCCAAATATTACAGGGTTTATACCATTTTAAATATTTTTTTATTTTAATAAAATAAATAATATTTAAAATCGAATAAAATCTGTAATATTTGGATTTTTTAAATAAAATTTTAAATTTGTCGATAAATTATAGTAGATAATAAATTGCACCACTTTAATTTGAAATAGGGGGGCTGGAGGCGGGCGAGGCAACAGGAAAAACGAACTTTTTTTCGCAAACTTTAATTTAAATTCTGTTTGCGCCGAACTTGTTTATTTAATGTCATTAACTATTATAAATTTGGTGTGGGTCCCATGTCTAATAACTGAGATATTGGTATACATAAAATCCACCAGCCGCCAGCCGTGTATAATATACTTAGACGTTGTAAGGCATCAGGCAATGTTCACTTTGATTTGAACCAATGGGATTTAAATTGGGTGAGAGCGACTATAATAATATTAAAAATTGGTAAAAGGTGAGGTTAACCATTTAACAAATGTCAGATTTTATTTATCTATTTTTGAAAATCATTTAATTATCTACTTATTGAAGTTAATAAACTTGGGATTATCTCTCGAATAATAATATACTATTATCTACTTCCACATTGACAAGCTGTGACCTTTTGGCGTTTTAGTCATGGGCTAAAATTAGCAACAGTGGCTTTCTAGCTTTTTAATCACTTGCTAGCTTCTTCTTCTTCATCAATCTGAATACTTCTGCACTGTGGCCAGGGGTAATGGCCTTTAGCTTACTTAGAAGCTCTTTGGATAGCTCTTTATGTTAAAAAAAAAATTAACATGATCAAGGATCCCAATTAAGAGAATCTGAGTTCAACTCATTCTTTGAAACATTTATTTATATTGTTTATGGTTTATTTTAATATTAATCTATCAGTATTTTCACTGTAATATTTCAATACTATTTCATCAAGCAAACCTGTCTCTTCAGCTGACAACACAAAACTCCAGAAGTTAGATTTATTATAAATTGGTAAAAAATAAGGTTAAATACTTTATCCGTTCTTAAATATTTAACAAATAAAATTGGCATTAAATTCTTCTTTGTGTTCGTCGTAGATAATAGTATATTATGTATCTAATTTAATAAACGCCATTTTATTCACGAATTTTAATAATAATATTTTTTTTAGGATAAATTAATTAATTTTAATATAAAATATCGCACGTCAAAACATCTATTGCAAGTCAAAATAGAGTATTGCACGTCAAAAGAAAGCGAGTATTGCACGCTCAAATAGTACATTACACACCAAAATGAACATTGCACGACAAGATAGTACTTCCCACTACCCATTGGGCAACTGAACTATAAAATAGAGCATTTCACGATTTAAAAGTTTATTTAACATCCAAAAAAGATTTTAAGATTGAAATTAAGGAGGAAATGAGGTGCATTCCAAAACTCGGCTTATCCATATTAGGTGATTTTGAGCAAAATGTCAAAAACCTTACACGTAAGTACTAACGCATACCATACCAACGAAATAAATAGGCATAAGTATAAAATTTATATACCTTGATTAAAAGGGTATAGCTCCAATTTGAAATAATTTAAAATTACGTACGTTTAAGCCATTTCTGACATGATATAACCTATAGATAAGGCAAGTTTTGGAATGATAGCTGAATTGAACTGAAGTTTAAATGGAATAAGGTGGGTTTTAGAACATTATGACCTTTTCAGGGTATAGGGGGCTACATATTAAATGTACACCACTAACTCATTTTTATTAAAAAGTGGATAAGCAAAATTTTGGAATGGACCTCCTCAAATCTCCAGCAGGGCAGCAACCATGGTTGCTGCAGTCATGTACAAAGGTTTTTTTTTCATTTTTTAATATTGTCTTTTTTTATTTTTATATTAAGTTTTTTTGGTTCTCTTTCGAATCAAAATCAGTAATTTTACAATAATAGGCTAAATAAAAATACTGGCTTGTGGATGTCTTTCCAGTCGTGTAAAACATTATTTTAATCAGTAATCAATTTTGTCATTCATTCTCATATTCAATGTGGTACATTTTTTTCCGCCGCACAGTGTTTCAATTCTGAAAAATATCGGCAAAACCTCAAAAATTGACATTTTTGTCAGGTAAATTTTGAGTTAGATGGGTAGTTAATACCTGTCTCCATTCTGTATTGAAAAAACATTACATAAAATACGTATATTTTGTCTTGTACATCAGTTTAAACTTGACGCTTTCAGTTGTTGTTTATTGTTTAAAAGTGAATAACTTATGTTTGGTGTGTCCGATTGTTATGCGGTTTAATGAAGGGTGATCTTCAAGGTATCTAAAATTCAGATAAGTATTTGTTTTTCGTAGATTTTGCTTGTACAACGGGTTATTGTAACCGAAAAGATCGGTCTGTTAAAATCGCAAACTTTGAATCGAGCTTTTAGAACAATGGAGCTACCAAAATTGTAATGAATTGTAAGGCATCAGTTCAAGATCCGTTGAATAGCTTAAAGTTTTGTCTATCATGCCATCAATAAATTAGCTGCCCCAACTTGCCCCTGGCTCTTTAAAAGTACATGTTCTTGGGCGCTCAGGCACGGTTGTGGTAAAAAACATCGCGATTTTAAGCCTATGTCGAACGCGTATCTGTGTTTTTGCTTTACAAAATAAAAGATTTTTTTTTATTTCTGGGTTGCGTTCATGACGTTTACTCGATTCACTCGGTGTCTAGACTTTCACTTGCGTAAATCGTTCGTGACTACTAAGATATTTAACACCGATTTTACATATTTAACCCACCTCTCGTAGGTGCTCTCAAACAACTCCGCATGCGCATTGTAGTGTGTTAATGTCAAATTTGAATTGTGGTTATTTGTGTTGACAATTTTTTTAGCGAATAAGAAATCGTTGCTAAAATATTAAGTAAAAGAAATAATACAAATTTAAAATACTTAGTATATTTTATACTGTATAAAATCTGTTATATTTAAATTTTATAAATAAATTTTGAAAGTTTCTCGGGAGAAAACGTTGGAAGATGTTTTCCATTGGCTTATGGTTTCCCATGCTCTGCTAATGATACAACGAGCAAATCCAGTGACGGAGATTGTTTAATATATATGTACCAAATTAAGCTATTTTATAAAAAGATGTTTTATTACATTTTAAAAAGAACCTCTTACGGGTTTTTAATTAATTTCGACAATATTTGATAAAAATGTCCGCCATTTGAGGTCCACCATTTTGAATTTTGGAATTGTGATTTCAGATTCATTATCAGCGACCACAAAAACCCCTGTATGGTGATTTTCAATTAATTCCGTCAATTTTTTTACAAATATGTCCGCCATTTTGGAAATACCATTTTGAATTTTGGAATTCTGATTCCAGATTCGTTATCAGCGACCCCAAAAACCCTGTATGGTGATTTTCAATTTATTCCGTCAATTTTTTGACAAATATGTCCGCCATTTTGGATCTACCATTTTGAATTTTGGAATTCTGATTTCAGATTCGTTATCAGCGACCCTAAAAACCTCTATATACGGATTTTTAGGGGAATCCGCCTACTCCTTGATATTTTGCCGAAAATTTCGAGAATTGAAACACTGTGCGCCGGGTAATTTTTTTATGGGCGTTCAAAAATATTGTTTTGTCGTGAAGCGATCCTGAATTGTCGTGCGATGTTATTAAAAAAAAAAATTAAAATGATATAAAAACTGTAATATTTTTGGATTTTTTAAATAATTTTTTTAAATTTATAGATAAATTATAGTAGGTTATAAATTGCACCACTTTAATTTTAATTATCTCAAATAGGAGGAGTCTTACTAGGTGGGGGCACGTCAAAAAATGTACTCACGTACTCAGTAGTAACATACGGTTGCGCAAAACGATCGTGCGCACACTCTGTGTCTGTAAGTGTATGCATTGTAAATTATCCAGCCAGCATTGTGAAAGCTATGCGCGGTGAGCACTTTGCGCATCCGTAGGCTTTCCTGAGTATACTGTTTGGCGTATTATTTTTATTGCTTGTGGTCAAGAGTTACTCCTCCTCTATTTAGTCTTCTTGGGTATAGGACTGTGCCCAAAAGCCACTGCTGCTAACTTCAGCCTGTGACTAAACGGCTGTTCGTGACCCTGTTGGCGTTTCTTGATACATAATATATGGGGCAAAATTTGCCAAATGTACCAGGTGAAAAAATTTTTGTCACCGATTTTGTTTAAACTTTACTTATTTGTTGTTCTTATAACGAAAAATCATAGCATAAAATTTTTTGCTCTAGGATTGTTCATTCAAGAGTTATAACATTTACTTTGACTACTCAAACATAATTTTACATTTTAAATTATCATTTTGTATTTGTTTACTCGCATCTACTAGGTATAAACGCATACGGCAGTGTAGTAGCTATTCGATGGCTAGACCCGCAAGCATTCAAATATAAAAAACTTCCCTTCTACATGTCGGGCCCACTCTAAATTTTTTTTTTATTCAAAGGTAACATAATAAACTTCGATATTAATAGTCCGGGAGGCAGTGAAGATTTTCGGTACTTATTTTCCCAGTCGGCAAACACTGATACAATTATTGGGTTTGTTATTCTGAGCAAAATTTATATATATTTAGGGGGGGGTTTTCCGATGGGTTAAGGCGGAAAATGCGTTATAAAGTACAAATATATTGCACTTTTTTTTACAGTGATAAAAATAATTCCATTAATGAGAGATATAGTGAACTTAAGAAAAAAAAATAGTCTGGCTAATCTGTGAGTATGGGTAAGGTGGTAAGGTGGAAAAATTATCAAAACCATTGCCCTTATTTTCGCAGTCCTAAAAATTTTGTGAGATGATAGTTTATATTATAATTACAGCTGCAAAAATAGTCTGGCTAATGTGAAAGCCTTGCCAGACTCGTCCAACCCTCCACAGTTTAATTATACAGGCGATTGTTGTCATCTCTACATGTTTTTACTTTTCATAATGTATGATAAGAAAATAATTTGTGTAAAGCAAAATTTAAATATGGCTAAAAAAAATGTCAGTCCGTCCGCCTCCAAAAAACTTTATTCGCGAATAACTTTGTAACTATCAGAGATACGAGAAAATTTGTGCAGTTGTTTTTTGTAGGATTCTCTACAAAATCGATCTCTTGACAGTCTTTTGTATCTCCCTTAGTTTTTGAGTTATATCAATAAAAAAAAAAGAAAATAAATAAGCACCCGTGGCTTCCTCTCCTCATTTAACTATCTGACTTGTGAGTCTGGCGGGGCTTTCGTGATTGTAAATAACAGCCAGACGTGTATTTTCTACGAAATTATAGTATTATTTATCATGTGACAAATTTTCAAATCCGGGAAAATAAGAGCAAAATTTTTGTAATTCTTACGATTTTCAAGATGCCGCCAGAACAATTTGCCAATTTCATAAATCAGCCAGACTTAATTTTGATTATAGTTTATGACAGTACCAAATAATGGGTTAAATTTTAAGCATGGGGAAATAAGGGCTACGTATTTCAAAAACCGGTCAAATTTTTGCTTCCGCAAATTTTCAGCCAGACTGACTTTCCTTCACTTGGGATGTGCCAGACTGTTATTTCCATTAATAAAATGACTCACTTTAATTAATGTGAAATATTTATGACTGGGAAAATAAGTGGACTTGACTTTTTGGCTCATCTAGTGAACCCATCCGAAAATTAAAAAATACACATTGTTTCAAAAAATGCAAATTTTTGCAAAATTTCAAAAAAAAATTGCAATTTTTTTTTGCAAAAACGGTATAGCCCATTGAAAAGTACGGAAAAAATCATTTAAGGTGGTTAAATTGAAATATTTAATAAAGAGATAAACAGAAGTTATGAATTTTTAAATAAAAAGCGATTTCACCAAAAAGTAAAAAAAATCGATAAATTTCAACAATCCATAACTCTTGAATGAACAATCCTAGAGCAAAAAAATTTTATGCTATGATTCTTCGTTATAAGAACAACAAATAAATAAAGTTTAAACAAAATCTGTGACAAAATTTTTTTTCACCTGGTACACTTGGCAAATTTTGCCCCATATATACTATTAATAAGTCAAAAAATAGCGGGACATTACAAAAATGACACAATCAACAATAATTAAGTAAAGTCAAATTTACAATTTGTATTGTATCATTGTGTCAATTTTGTAGTTAAGGTACATTCATACAAAATTTCCCTCTTTTTTTTTGACAGAATCTGGTCACTTTATTATATATTATAATATAATATATTCCAGTTTTATAGTTTTTTTTCTTTGATTGACGTTTTAATTATTTAAATAATTATTAATTGACCATATGCAAGGAATGCGGTCGATGTTGCCAATGGTAAAAAAATAAAATTACCTTTTGGGAACAATCAATTATATTACGTTGGCTACACTGAAATTTTGAATTTCCCGCACAAACTGACATACATTCTAGTAGTTCCCAGAGATAAAGAAGGTAGTTCCAATGTTGTATAATAAATTAAGGTGCGAATTTCAAATGTGGGTATTATTATTATTTATTATTATTAAAAAAAAAGATGGAAATTAATTTAGTTTGTGCGGGAAATTCAAAATTTCAGTGTAGCCAACGTAATATAATTGAATGTTCCCAATAGGGAATTATATTTTTTTACCATTGGCAACATCGACCGCATTCCTTGCATATGGTCAATTGCGATTTTAGCAGACAATCAACATGTCAACATTTTCTAATGCCCTCTATTTTATATTTTTACGTAGATAACAGCTACGTTTTATCATTTTCACGGTTTGTTTTTAAATAGCTTACATTATTACAATTTTGTTATCAGACATTCTTGTGATATTTTTTTTAATAAGTCATATATTTATTTTGTTGCCAGTGTACAAAAATAAATTATTTCAGTTTGTCAGGGTTTGCTGCAAAATTATTAAATGTACTGACATTACTTTTAAAACTTTTAATACCCTTTTTTCGTGATAACTTACTCCTGATTCAAAGTTGACACGTCCTCTCATTGTGTTAATGACCGACTCAGGTTGTTCAAAAATTTCCTTTTGCATAAAGTAATCATAGTTTCCTTTCATGATCTGTTGCAATTCCATTTTTACAGTGGTCACTTCGCGGGTATGAGGATCATCACCACCACGTCTGATTCTGTGAATGCTCAAAGAACCATTCTTAATGGCAGCTACGTCATCATCCTAAAAATTTACCAACGTATGAATTTAAGTTGTTTATTTAAGCATTAGATAGTTTTACTTCAAAGTAAATGACTCTGTTGGTGTGTTCGATGATTGCCGAAGCATCGGAAGCGAAAAAGTATTCGCATTGTTTGTCTTCAGGCGCGAATTCTGCGGTGGATCCAGTTCTGGGTAGTGTGGGGATCTCGGAACGTCCATGTGGTCTGTGTTCTAAAATTAACACTCGCAATTTTAGTCAAATATAAAGATTTAAAAGCACGTTTAAAGCCAAATTTTAAAAGTTTACATAAATATTAAAACTAACTTTGCTGGCATTATAAACAACAAAGGCTAAACAAGGTATCGCCGTTGATACTGCAAAATGTCACTTGTATATAACTTTTCAGAAGGACTAAACTGTACTTTTCTAAAAACCTAGATGCATGAAATTGTTTTGTACTATGTTTTTAAATTTCTTAATGCTTTTAGGTTTTTAGAAAAGTACACAGTAACGTTTTTTGTCCTCCTGATACATACAAAAGTTACATTTGCAGTATCAACGACGGTATATAAAAACTTGTCACTTAAGGAAAATATAAATAGTAATAATTCTTTGAATAAATTAAGCATTAAGAATAAAGAGTTTTTGTTTAATATCCATCACCTAATTTAATTTATTTTAATTTACTTTATCATCACTAAAGTTTAAAAAAAACAGCAAGTTAAAAGTTTCTTTGAAAGTTCTGAACATAAAACCCAGATGTCGCTTTTTTTATTATAAAAATTTTATATAAAAAATCCTTCAGTTATAGTAATTGAGTGAAGTTTGAGCTAATCAAGTTTTTTATTTTTAAAGGCTTGCATCGGAAAAGCTTCCTTGGTGGAGTTAAGCTTTTTACAACAAACTTGATTACAGTTTGATTCTTTAATAAGCATTTTTTGGGATGTACAACTAAACGCACATGTCTGAATAGACATCTTTCATATTTTAAATATTCAGATATTTCAAAGAAATTTTTAACTTTCCAGAATCCTTATAATAAGAAATTTATTAGTACTATTATTAAAATAGTTGCATTAAATTAATATTTTTATGTCAAATCTCAAACAAAACTTTGCATATTTAGCACACTCATAATGCCGGTTGTCGACATCATAATATTTTAATCATTCAAATGATTAAACATAGGTTGTCTCGAAAACACTGCAAAAGATGAGCATTATCACTTGACTCTTTAATTTAATTCTTTAAGGAAAAGTTTATAATTTAAATTATGAATGTTTAAAAAATAAAAATTCTTATGAAATTGAGATCAAAATGTTTTGCAATAAATAAGTGGAAAATTTTTATAACTTAAACATACATTTTGCTTACATTAAACTTAACAATACATATTAAATTAAACAGACTTACATTTTTAATCCGCAATCCACATTTTGAGAACATGTCACCAAAGCAGAATATTTGCTTTATTTTATTAGCAGGAAAAAAGCAATAAGCATAAGTAATAATAAAACAAAAACATAAGGTACTACCTGAATGATTTGGATCTGCCTCTGAAGAAAAACCAAAAAAAGGAAAACATAACAATTAAAAACAAGCACAAACACAAAATAAATGAAGAAAATGTCAAAATAATAATTAAGATATAAATAAATAAATTATACTAAAATTTTTGCATTTTCAATTTTCTTTGTGTAAATAAATTATTTTCTCGTAACAAATTTAACATACTTACTTCTTACGATAATTTTAATTATAAAATATTGTTTGTATCAGTATTATTTTAATTTTAAACATATTAAACATAAGGTAATTTAAAAATAAATTATTTGCACAAATAAAGCCATGTACAATGTACATTATACATAAAACATTTTGTTATTATTTACAATATGTACAATATGGTGATTTAAAACAAAACATTTGGAAATTTATACAAGAACACTCAGATTCTCGAAGAGTATAAAAAAATCCCTTAAATTTTTAGCTCAATCGGACAAGATTTAGAATTCCTCAACGCCATTGTTTATCTTTTGAATAGCGTGAACTTAAAATGCATTCTTGTAAACAAATGCGCATATTTCAGTCAAATATGAATGCAAAAGGCTTTTGTGATGACCATTGAATGGAAAACCGTTGAGACCATTTGGATAAATTGGATATATTGTTTACGTATAATGATTTAATTAAAAAATATTGTCCTATAAACAAATAGTTACTATTATATAATAGTTACTATTATATAATATTTGCAATGATTTTTTCTGAAAATTGGTAAAACATTCAGTATAGTCTAAAAACACTTTAAATCACGTCATCAATAAATAAAATTAAAATATACCCACTAATTAACAAAATAATAACAATAATAATTCACAAATTCCCATTATGGTCGGTAAATGATATTAGCGCTATTATAGCTATAATAGCTCTAATAAGTTACTCACAAAATTTTAGCCATATACAGTGTTGGTCATAATTTTTGCAACCACTGTAAAAAAAATCTAACTCTAAAACGCCTTTATTATTCTTTATGAAATTTTGGATAAAAATACTTCAACTTATATCTTATATCTCAGTTTACGTGGTCGAGGATTTTTCGAGAAAATATTTTTAAAGCTCTTTTATTTAATAATGAAAAAACGTTCAAAAAATAACTTTAGGGTAATTTATTTTTAAGTAAATAAAAAATATGCTGTTAAATACCGTATTTTTGTTAGTACACCCTGAAAATTTTGTACAAATTAAACGAACAGTAACGAAGATACAGCGCTTCAAAGTCGGTAAAATGGCCCCTTTTTGATATTTACTTACAAAAAAATTAATAAAAGTTATTTTTCGAACGTTTTTTCATTATTAAATAAAGGGGCTTTACAAATATTTTCTCGAAAAACCCTCGAACACGTAAACTTAGTTACAAGTATTTTTATCTAAAACTTCATAAAGAATAATAAAGGCGTTTTAGAGTTAGATTTTTTTTACAGTGGTTGCAAAAATTATGGCCAACACTGTAGATATATATATATATATATATACATTGCTACCATTTTAACTCCGTTATTATTGGCTAAGTCATAAAAATAAACAATTAATAAGCACTTGAACTTTTTAAAGGTTGTTGAAATAACCAAATTATTAGGTACTTTATACAACAATCAGTTTAAGTGCCTATTAATAATTTATTTTTAAGTTTAGGGTAGTTATGTAATTATAATTTTCTGTTCCGAATTAAATTGTCTTTCAAAATATGTAAAAATATACAGGGTGTTTCATTTCTGTGAATATTTATTTGATCTGCTTTAGGTTTCCACGAGCGTTATAGGTATTGATGGTTTTTCGGGATCTGCTCTGTTTTGTTGGTTTTTGGTTCTTAAAAGAATCGTATGTCTGACGACGTTTTGGTACAATATCATGTAACATCTTCAGGTATTATCTGCTGGGCTGCTGTTGCTGCTCTGCAGAGCAGCAACGGCAGCCCTGCGAATAAGACCTGAAGATGGTACATGAGATTGTACCAAAACGTTGTCAGAAATACGGTTCTTTTAAGAACCAAAAACCGACAACACGGAGCAGATCACAGAAAACCATCAATACACATATATCACATATCACACATACACACTTCGAGAATCCGAGTAATTTTGTATGAATTCCAAAAAAGTTGTATAACCAGAATTTGCAATTTAATATAAATAGTACGCGTATAATGCCGGAAAACATAATCTGAGCGATTTAATTGTATTAAGATTTAAATCTATCGTAACATTTTTTCCCGTTAAAATAAGACAAATTTTTTTTTTAACATTGTTGGCAATCTTAACAGCAGAAAAACTACTTATTTAGTTTCACTCAGAGGTTTATGCTTTCAGGATCATAAATTAAAAACAATGGGGCAATATTTATACAACTTATCATATCGATCAATCTGATGCAAAATTAAAATTAAAACATGCACAGGCAATATTATTTTGTGGTTATTAAATTGCAAAACAAAAAGAATTAGTGTTATACTTATAAGAAAATAAATAAAGTAGTTATATACCTGAAAGAACTGTCTTAGGTTGTTCTTCTATAGTGGCCAAGTCCAAAAAAGTCAACAAAAATTGTGAAAAACAAAAAGTGTTAGAAAAGTATAAACACGCATAAATGGGTGATAAAATATGAATGAATGATTTGGGATTAAATTAGGTATGAATATATTGAAATTTTGTATTATAACTATATTTACTTAATGATATGCATTTATTTCTAAGAGTGGTTATTGGGCTATTTTAGGTCAAAAATGTATTTAAATAAATGTTTTTTTGATTTTTATTAATCATTTTAAAAACCGTTAGAGATATTACATTAAATTTTATGGGATAAAAACGAACTTTTTAACCAGGAGGTGTTTTTTATTTAACCAGAGGCTACTTTAAAATACAATTTTATAACTGACGGTATTAATCACTATTTAAATTACCATTTTTATCGTAAATCTTACCAATTTGAAGAAAATAAAATTTGTGTTTGTTAAATGGGTATTTATCTGCAACTTATTTCTAGGCGAAAACCGTGTACATAAAATCATGAGCCATACCTACGCCACTTTTTTGGTTATACCATAATGTGCTATTCCAAAATTTAATGTAATATTTAAACCGATTTTCGAAATTTTTAATAAAATTCGAAAGAACTACAGCTTCCTGTATATTAAAAAACAAGCTTTTAATTCATTTATATGAACTTTTGGATTCAAAATTAGCCCAAGAATAACCCATAAAATAAGTATAATACATATAAGTAACACGCAGTACTAACTACAGGTTAAATTTATAAAGCGCGATATAAATTTATAAAGCGCGATATACAGGCCTAAACTTCCGACAAGTATTTTTCGTTGTCGTTGTCTGTTATTAAAAAATTAAAACAAAGAAAATTAAATTAAATTTTTAAACCCTTATAAAATAATACTCCCTTCCACGTGGTGCACCATTTTAAAAACACCCTGTATGAAAGCTATTTTCAGGAAATTTCTTAAATATTGTTAATAAAACTGAATTAAATTAATTTAAAATAAATATTACATACAGTAATGATTTTTTTAATTAGCCCTGATTCACGTTAATTCTGTTTATTAACATTTTTTTAGAATAAATTATTTTAAGCAATATTTATTTTAAAATGTTTTTTTCGATTAACTTACTATTTTATCATTTAATGATTCTTTGGAATTAAATAATAATGGATGCATAGTGTTAGTAAAACATTTCAAAACATATAAACAATATAAAAATATAAAACCACAAACTACAATTAATAAAAGTTTGTGATGTGAAACGAGAAAATCGTCTTAACAACCGAAATCTATTTAACGCGTATAGATTTTTCCGTGTTAGCGCGTTTTTCTCATTTCATATCACATATATTATACAGGGTGAGTTTTAAGTTGACGCGTTCCTTTTAACAGTGTGTAGAAATCAGCTAGACAAATAAATATTTTTAGTAACTTTTTTATCAAAACTCAAAAATAAAAAAGTTATAGCCCATCAAAGTTTAATTAAATTTTAAGCCGGTCCTGGCTTAACGAAAAACATAACCATAAAAATATCAAAATAAACAATGCAAAATGTCATATTTGACAACAAACATAACCATTTAAATCAAATTGACATTTTGCAATAAAAAATGTCATTATTTAATTAAGTTGCAGCATTTGCATTTTGACGACACTCTCCATAAATTAGTAACATTTCCACTAATTCATTATTGCTATAATTATGAACCATTTTTAACAATAATTGAGGCACAAAAAAACTGCTAAATGTCATTTTGATTTAAATGGTTATGTTTGTTGTCATAGATGACATTTTGCATTGTTTATTTTGTTATTTTTATTTTTATGGTTATGTTTTTTGTTAACAATAGCCAGGACCGGCTCAAAATTTAATTAAACTTGGAAGGCCTATAACTCTTATTTTTGAGTTTTGATAAAAAAGTTACTTAAAATATTTATTTGTTTATCTGATTTCTACACGCTGTTAAAAGGAACGCGTCAACTTAAAACTCACCCTGTACAACTACCCAGAGAAAAGTAAATATGTAGTTAACTTGAAAAAATGTATTTATTTGAAACGGGTTTTCTTATACGAAATAAAATTGTCTTCTTGTTTACTATAACAAAATACTATTATTTGGTTGTAAATCGTAAGTTTCTTGAAAACAAATAGATTGTTGTGATTTATTCTAAAGAAATATTCATTTAGAGATACTATTAAATTTTTTAGATCTAAGTTATTTGGATTTAGTTTATTTGAATGTTTAATACAAGCATATAATATCTTATTTTAACAAAATAATAATTTGGATAAAATATTTGCTTGTATAAGGGCCGGTTTATCAATGTCCAGTTGCAGATAATCTCCATGTATACCATTGTTCTCACAACGATCGATATAGAATTTTACTTTTAGATAGATTAACTGTAACTTAACCAGAGATTGATAAACCGGCCCTTAGGGCCATTTTATCAATGTCCAGTTGCAGTTAGTTATCTGGCAGATAATTTCCATGGATACCATAGTTCTCACAACGATCGATAAAGAATTGAACTGTTAGATATACTAACTGGAACTTAACCAGAGATTGATAAGCCGGTCCTTAACCAAATATAAGTTTAAAAAGGTCAAGTAAATGTAAATTTTCCACCAAATAAACATCTTCTTGTGTATATCGAAATAAAGTATTTATTTAAGGCTTGAATACATAAAAATCAAGACATTAATTTTCTCTGTGTAGCATTATATGTATATTAGCATGCATTATGTTAGTTAATGTAAAAACTCCAAACCAAAACTATAAACAAGTATAAAATCAACTATATTATACCAGTACCTGTAAATATAGAAAAGTTAGATCCTTCACCTGTTAAGGGATGATATTTTCGCTTATTTTTATTTTAAATGTAATAAGTACATATGTATACGATGTTTGTAATAAATTTATAATGAAAATACAAAACCCCAAATTTTTACCTTTTCCGTATAAAATTGGGATGTGGTCAGTGACTGGAATGTTTTTGCTTTTAATGCCAACCAAAAGTGGAGAACCACGTCTTGTGGCAACGCATTCCCCTGGGAAGAATTTCGATTTAAAGCATAAGGCAAATGCACCTTCCTATAAATAAAATACAATTTATTTTAATTAAAATTTTTTTAACCAATATTAATTATTGTTCTATACAGGGTGTCCAAAATGTGATGGGATAGTATTGCTATCTCGGTAACGGTTATAGTTGGAATAGGGCATCAAGAGTTCAAAAGTTGCGTAATTACATGCCTTTTAAAATATTAAAAAAAATATAAAAATCGGTTAAAACTTATTATCGCTATAACGTTTTTATTTCTAGGAATTTTATAATACTGAAAGGTTTACATTAAAACATAAAATTATATACATTTTGATCCAATTTGTGTATTTTTACGCCAACTAGATTTTGAGATACGGCTACTATCTTTTGTTTCTCATATGCCCGCCATATGTGGCCATATCTCAGAATCTAGTAGGAGTAAAAATACACAAAAAGGATCAAAACGTATGTAATTGTGTATGTTTTTATGTAAACCTTTCAGTTTTTCAAAATTTCTATAAATAAAAAAATAATAGCGATAATAAGTTTTAACCAATTTTCAGTTTTTTTCAAATATTTTGAGAACCGCTGATTTTGTGTGCAATCTTCAGATGCCATAATAAAAGGCATGTAATTACGCAACTTTTGAACCCTTGATGCCCTATTCCATCTGTAACCGTTTCCGAGATAGCAATGCTATCCCATCACATTTTGGACACCCTGTATATTACATTGTGAAATCAAGTCTATAATAAATAGAACTACATATCAGATTAATTATTTTGGTTTAATAAACTCCTACACTAAATGATAAATATAAAATATTTAACTAACTTTTAGTTTAAAATTGATGTAAATGTTATTGTTAAAAATATATTAAGAAAAAATACATGTTTTTAGCACCTATAAGTACTTAAGATTACAACAAGGTAATAGGGATTAAAAAAAAATAATATTTTTTGTTAACAAAATTTTATCAATTAAACCTTTGTTTTTGCAAACAATTTGTAGATTCGTAGATAAAACTCATAATTTCGTAAAAATAAAATAAATAAGATTAACTAAATATTTATTACTTAAATCAATTTTCCTCAAAATTTTAAGGTTTTTAAAATAACATACAATTTACTAGGTATACTCAAAAAAATAATAAATTAATTAAGTAAGGTATAAGCATTTTAAGACATAACTATTTTTTTTTTAATCTCTGAAAATTACCTTAACTACGGTTTCGCGAAAGGATCGAACGGTCAATTTGCAAGGGTTCAAGAAGTCGACTTTTTTACCTTATTTATATATATACATATATATACATATACCTTATATATTATATTATATTACCTTATTATATATCTAAATGCAGTACTTTTTAAAAAAAAAAAATTCCGTCCATTGACAACTTTGTTTTTTATTTTTTTCTTCAAGTGTTAAAAATAAAGAAATTTCATTTTTTTAATAATTTTTTTATTTCAAAACGTATTGATTTAAAATTTGGTCAAAATGTAGATCTTACTAATGACAATTAATTCATGAAAAAATTTTGTTTAGATTTTAACGTACAGATGGCGCTGGTGATAATTTATATTAAAATTTAACAATTTTTAAAAGGTAAATAATCGAAGAAGCAACTTTGTTTTATAAATTTGTGTATAACACGTTAAAGTATTGATATTTGACTTTTATTTGATATATTAACTTTTTTATGCAAATGATGTTTCTGTGCCCAGAATCAGTTTTGAATTAGCAGTAGCAGTATTCATAATTGTTTAGTTTAGTTCATTTTTTCATTTTTATACAAATATTGTTGTATCTTTTATTAATAATTAAGTATAGCATAACACATAAATGACTTTTAATATACAGGGTGTTTCAGGTAAGTTTCTAGTGAATCGCGAAAGACATCGATTTAAAATGTTAATAGCGTAAATTATTCGATTTAGACTTTTTTCCTAAATTAATTCATGAAAAAATTTTGTTTAGATTTTAACGTACAGATGGCGCTGCTGATAATTTATATTAAAATTTAACAATTTTTAAAAGGTAAATAATCGAAGAAGCAACTTTGTTTTATAAATTTGTGTAGGTATAACACGTTAAAGTATTGATATTTGACTTTTATTTGATATATTAACTTTTTTATGCAAATGATGTTTCTGTGCCCAGAATCAGTTTTGAATTAGCAGTAGCAGTATTCATAAATGTTTAGTTTAGTTCATTTTTTCATTTTTATACAAATATTGTTGTATCTTTTATTAATAATTAAGTATAGCATAACACATAAATGACTTTTAATATACAGGGTGTTTCAGGTAAGTTTCTAGTGAATCGCGAAAGACATCGATTTAAAATGTTAATAGCGTAAATTATTCGATTTAGACTTTTTTCCTAAATTACACTGTAGGTAAATTTTTAACTTTTGAAATATCACAGCTAAACGCTTGGACACGTAAACATAATTTTTGGTCGTAGATTCCAAATCCGTGCTCGGTTTAGCTGTATCAGGTCTAAAAAAGTTTTTCCTATTGGAAATCCGATCCGCTGTATATACAGTATATACTGGTATATTATAATTTGTAAAATAATATAATTCACCTCTTGTGCCAACAGTTTTAGGCTTTTTATTTCATTTAATATAATATCCTCAATTATACTCAATAAAAAAAAAATCAGCAAAAAAAACATTTCAAATTTCCTAAATTATCTAAGAAAAACACGTGTATCTTTTGATCAATTAACTTCAAATTTTCAAAAATTTGTTATTTTTTTAATTTGGAACTGATGTGTAAGTCCCGCCAAATTTAATTTTAAACAAAATTATACAGGGTGTTTAAATTTATACAGGGTGTTTAAATTTATACAGGGTGTTTAAATTTATACAGGGTGTTTCCAATATCTTTAAATTTTGACCTGATACAGCAAAACCAAGCACGGATTTGTAATCTACGACCAAAAATTAAGTTTACGTGTCCGAGCGTTTAACTGTGATATTTTCACCTCCCTACAGTGTTATTTTGAACAAAATAATACTTCCTGTTTTACTGGAAATGTCTTTAACTTTGTTATTTTAAACGGGACACCTCATATATTTTTGAATTCTACAAAAAATGGCTATACCATATCCTATACCTAAAGTCAATATTTTTCGAGTTATTAATTTTTTTGTTTAAATGCACGTCTAAATCAAATTGTATATGCTATTCAAATTTCAAATCCGCATCGTTTCGTTTCTCCAGAAAGCATTACAAAAAATAAAAAAACAACTGAATAAAAAAATATGCATATATCTAAATTGCCGATCGCAACATAAAATATAAAGTCTTTATTCTAATTTATTTATTGGGTAAATATTACTTTCCTCAGTTTGGAATTAAAATTGAAGCTTGCTTATTGAGTAAAAAAATTAAAGCTTGGTAGTGGAGCAAAACATAAAATTAAAGTAGGTTATAATTTCTAACTTGCTGACACTGCAGCAGTGATGGGCACGTACGGTATATAACCGATTTATTAAAATTTGGATAAATACTCAAGGTATGTACTATGTACTATGTACCAGTGGTGAGCACTATCGATAGTTGATAGTTCAAAGTTTACAATTATTGTAAACTTTGAACTATCAACTATCGATAGTGCTCATCACTGGTACATAGAACATAGTACATTCCTTGGGTATTTATCCAAATTTTAATAAATCGGTTATATACCGGGTACGTGCCCATCAGTGACTGCAGGGACATGTCTATAATTATTATTTAGTTTATTTATTTTAATAAATTAATGTTTTGAGTTATAAATTGAAACGCAATCAGTAATTTTCAACTTATAAACTGAACTGTCATATTATACCAATACCAATGGTATCCCATATGGTAACATATAGTTTACCATAGAAAAAAGTCTAAGATCAAAATTAGTAAACTTGAAAACATTTTAAATTTATAAATAAAAGTAATTTATCATAATCCATCTTGGCGATTGTTTTAAATAAATATGTAAGAATTGTATGCTATATAATATATTATATGTAATATATAATGTATAATATGTAATATATAATACATTATCTTATAAAACTAGATAAAACAATATATACTTTGTAAAACACGTTAGTATTATGCCCTTTGAAGGCCTAACTTAAAAATGATGTCTCTTGTAGAAACATAATTTGCATGAGGAACTTTATATATCAAATAATTGTTAATTATCAGTACTTTAACGTGATATACTCAAAATTATAAAACAACGTCGATTTTTTTAACCCTTAAAAAATGGTAAAATTTTAAATTAAAATGTCCTCAGCGCCCCCTGTATGTTAAAATCTAAAAAAAATATTACGTGGATTTATAAGGTCTACATTTTATCTTAATTTCAAATCGATAAGTTTTCGAAATTTATCTATTTTTAACACAGTAGAGTGACTTAAGGCCTGAAAACCACAGCGGTCAATAGATGAAATAAAAATGTTGAAAAAAATGCACCATTTAGATGTACAAACAAGGTTAAAAAATATATTCAATTCTGGCATCACTGACTTAAAATTAATTTTTTGATTTTTTATTCTTACTCTGATGAAAGTGAGACAAGTTCACAGGTTAAACGTTAAACATTCAATTTGTGTAAATAAATCCAGAAGCACTTCTCTTTACAATACTTTATCTACTCCTATTGCATAATATTGTTTTTTTTTTCCCTGCCTACGAACGGGAATAATAAACTCATTATTCACGTTGTTAGGCCTACGAACGGGAATAATAAACTGTGTGATTGGCCAATTTCAATATTTACTGTGATTTGAACCAATCGGGTTTTAAATTGGGATAAGGCGACTATAATAACATTTAAAACTGGTAAAAAGTGAGGTTAACCATTTGACAGATGTCAGATTTTATTTATTTACCTTTAAATAGTTATTTGTTTTACAAGTGTTGAAAGCGACTTTTTCATGCGAGTGTTTAGGTGCATTAACACGAGCTTGAAGAAAACTTTTCTCACAATGTTTTTTCTACAACCCTTTTATTTTTTATTATATTCAAATACAAAACAAAATAACCTAAAAGCGTGTTTTTACAGCTGTTAAAATTTCTTTAATCATTTTAAGGTATAAGTTACTTAAAATCAATAAACATACTTTTTCAATTTAAATAAATAATGTATTATACAAACACAATTAATTGTGTTCTAATTGATATTTAGACATACATATATGTACAAATACAATACAAATTTTAAAACGAATATCAAACGATGCTGTCAATTTCTTTTTACACAGACCTGTCACTTTTCACACAGAAATTTCACTTCACATTCGTGTTTTTCCTTGCCAATGAAAATATTCATTTTCAAGCAACGATACCATTACGAAATGTGACTTTTACATAATGGTCGTAGAAAAAATCATTTATTTATCTAGTTATTGAAATAAATAAAGTTTGGTATTACACTTGAGATTATGCACATTATTCACTCGGATGATTTAATTCTCTTGACTCGAGACGCAAACCTCATTCTCGTGAATAGCCTGCATTATCTCTCCTATAATAATATACAATTACAAGTGCGAGTGCGCGAAAGCATATACTTCGCAGATTTCAAACTTGTTCAAACTTGCATTCCAAAACAATATAAATCATTTTGAGCATCTGCTGAAAAAGCTAGGTTACACTTTTTAATTTTTCATTTGGCAACACTGCATTAAAAAGTAAGGTTAATCCGCGGTTCATGGTCTATCAGTGTCGTACTTTTTGGTAAGATAAAGGTTTATTACAAATTATTTTTAGTCTTTTGAATAAAAAAAAGAAAGTATCATGTGCTTCTTTATGGACCCTAAGGACTTACAATGTCTTAATCAAAATCATAATAGATGGACTACAACTTTTTTATTTATTTATTAATCTAAAGGCTTTATATCAGGTACTAAATATTAATTAATATAAACTTATAAATATAAATATCAAAAATCACAAAAAGGACATATTATTTCTTAAATCTATAATTTATTATAGCAAAGGTCGAAAAATGAATTAATAAATAAACAAAAGCTCTTACCAACTGCTGTACGACGCACTCCACCAGCTCCCTGAAGGAGCAGTTGGGGTGTTTTTGGTAGAAGTGATAGACGAGCTTGGCAATGATTTCCGTGTCAGTTTCACTTTCGAAGCAGTGTCCCTTTTTCTCCAGAAACACTTTAACTTCCTTGTAGTTGGTAATTATGCCGTTGTGCACTACTACGAAGTTGTTGGACTCGTCAGAACGATGTGGATGCGAGTTGAGTTCGCTAGGCACACCGTGGGTAGCCCAACGCGTATGGGCTATTCCGCAGTGAGTTTCCGAGATGTCGTCCATGGCCAAATCTGCACCTCCTGTAAATAAAATTATTTTTCAGCGAAAGCGCTTCCATATTTTAATACAGCTAACAATATTTTTTTTTGAAGTTTATAGAGTTTATAGAGATTTTGAAAATAATCACATAATTGTGTAGTAGGCATGACGCATAGGTCTCAGTAAAAAAATTGTTTTGAAATTCAGTTTTTTGTTAATGTTATTTAAGTTAAAATTGAAAAAATAGAATCTTTGGCACCACTCTGTATAATTGAATTAAATTTTACACATTATTGTAGCAATGTTTAGGGTAAATTTCATTAAATACAAGAATTTTGCATACATTTATTATAAACATTTGTTTTATGCGCTGAAAAAAATTAATCTTGTGTCATAATATGAGGCAATCGCTTCCGTATAATAGGATGTACTCAAAAATTTGTCTTTCATATGTCATTTCGGAGATATTAAATTTTTTGTCCCGCTGCTAGCTCGTCCGTTCTAACGTTCTAACCAGGGTGGAAGAAGGAGGTGATACATCTTTATCCCGGAACGCGGCCAAATAACTCAGTATTTGTTAAAAGTCTCAATAGATGGCGCATTGACGTGGAACCTGTTTTAATCCCGGTGGACAACAAACTTTTCCCATTTTTAGTAAAATTGCATAGATTAACTTCAAAGAATAGACCACTAAGCTTAATTAAAATTCAAATAAAACCATTTCAACGTCACTTTTGTGCGTTTGTGGCGACTGTGCATTTTGGCAGAACAGTTGGCAATACTACAGTATTGCCAATCGTTCTGCAAATTATTATAAGCCTAAGCCTAGTTAGAAAATCGGGATTATGTTAATCTTTCTCCATCATAATGCACCGTACGCGGATTGTGCAATCTGGATTGGCGATTTGGCAAAGCTGTTTTATTTGTCAAAAAAACACAAAAAACTGTCAATCGTACATTCGAATCGATTGACAACCATAGAGAAACAAACTAAAATTTAAATTTTGTTATAATATATTATGCCTAATATACAATAACTTTTATATGGAAAAAATTTTTGGATCATCCTTCTTCTGTCTATAAAATGGGAGACCAGAATTCCTAACTTTTCACCAGCGGAAAAAGAAAATCTAATTATGATTGTTATGAGGTATTCTAAAATATTGGAAGACAAAAAAAACTAACAGAACTGGGCTTCAATATTCATTTTCATTAAGAAAGTTTAGAATGGTGGGTCAATCGAAATCAACGAAAAAACGTTAAATGGTCCATGGTGTCAAAATATTCGCTCCTTTAATAATTTCGTCGCGGAAATCCAAAATTAATTATGTCCAGAATATCTTGATCAACTTCTATATATATTTTTTACTATTTCTACTATTACTAGTTTTTGAAATCTACTTTTGAAGTTTGAAACTAAAAATTTGGTTAGAAAATCAGTTAATCCTGCGATTAAACCTACCTCGCCGGTGGATCTCGTAATCGAACACTTAAACTACATTTTTCGCGCGGTGCATGATAAATTTTCGAACTAAGCGAGATTAAACTCCTAATCGAGATTAAGTCAATACGGTGCATACCGGCATAAGAAAAGATGTAATTTTCGTTAAGGATGGTAGAAGACTCTCCTTGAGTTTTCAATATCTTATTATTTGTTGTTAAAAGTTAAGTTGTTATAGAAATATGGATTTCGTTAGTAAAACCTTAGTTTCTTGGTTGACTCGCCATCTAACGAACAACGAACGAAATACTGAGTTATCTGGACGCTTGCTTCTGTACTGTAGAGATAGGAGCTATATCACCTTCTTCTTCCACCATGGTTCTAACGGAAAGCTGTGCTAACGAGCTATAGTTGTCGCGGCGAATGTTTCAAATTTCGTAATCAAATTCTGAACAAAGCACAGACATTATTCAAGGAACCGCTAGGTTAGGGCACAATCACTCGGATCTCAGAAGAACGTGAGTCCGATGCCATGCTCACGCAATGTGTGTTAAATAAGGACAGAGCGGGACTGGAGCATGAGGGGTCTCCTGCTCCAATTAAATTGTATCCAAGAGGTAAAAGCTATAGCGACAACAAAGTGCTGGAGATTTGGAACCAGACACTTAGCCTTACTGAGGAGAGGTTCCTGCGGCAAAGAATAATGGAGTTTTGGAACTAATCATCCACCTCGGAGATGACAGTTTCGACGAGGATAAATTTTGAGAAAATACACACCTTTATTCTATATATAAATATGTTTTTCCACTTAAATCGTTTCTGTTAATAAATTTTCACCACTTGGTTACGGTCATAGAAAAACCTATGGTTACGGTTTACAGTTATCGAGACAGTTGCATACGGTGCTTTGTCAGGAGAATTTGTTCCTTAAAAATTGTATAACTTTAATACAGGTAAAATCTAAAAACCAGAGGCATTTTATTTAAAAAAAACTAATGCAAAGTTTACTTACTCGAAATGTCGTTTGATAATCAGGCCACCCAAAATACACGCGCGGACCCCTTGAAAATGATACGCTACTGACTTACCTAACCTAACATTTCAGGGTTTTTAACCGTATGTCGAGAAATCGGTTTTTGACATTCGACATTGATGACGCAATTTGAAACATTCGCCGCGACGACTATAGCAGCGAAGCGCGCCTCGTACTGCTCAAGCGCACAGCGGGACAAAAAATTTAATATCTCCGAAATGACCTATGAAGGACAAATTTTTGAGTACATTTTATTAAACGGGAACGTTTTCCGCATATAACACAAGATTAATGACACAAGATTATTTATTTTTTAGTGTGAAGAACACATAAAAAATTTCAATTGTTTATAATAAATGTATACAAAAATCTTTTATTTAAACAAATTCATGGTTGTGCATCTTTACTGTACAAAAACTTGTCCGCTGAGAAGTTTAGACTAAGCTTGCCAGAGGCGCTAATGTCGCCAAAATTGTTTTTGTCACCGAGACTACCGTTGTCATAATGACAGTATTTATAACCTTTATATATTTATAAGTTTGTATTGTGTATTTATTATTATGGTTTATTCTTGTTGTGTACTAAAGTGCAAAAGCAGGGGGGATAGTGTAAAAATGCATCCATTTCCAAAAACCGATAAGGTATGTCCCGCTTTTTGCCCAAATAACAAAAAATATGTCGATTCTCTAAGCACCAAGTATTAAAATTTTTATTGTTCTTTTATTTATAAATTTATTTTACCTTATAGAATAATATTATAGGAATAGGAATGAAATAGTTAGATAAGTTCATATGATGTAGATATGATTTTAAGTTGTGTTTTGAATTTTTGCCTTTATATATTTTGTAACTTTAGACAAATAAAATAATTACAAAAATGTAGTTTTATTATGTTTTATTATTCCTCTTTGAACTTTCCTAGAAAAATATTAGAAATATTTATCTAGTGGAGGTAAAAAAAGGATCAGTACCATCCAGTAATAGTTATTTACGTGTCAAGCTTTGTAAATGAATCTTTACGGGCGAGCTGAAAAATTGTGGGGTGAGCGACCCAGGAGCGAACCCCATAATCCAGTGAGCCTAGTAAAGATTAATTGCAAAGCGTGACACGTACAAACTTTTATTTTCACCTTTAGAGAACGATTTTTAATTTTAAAATTTTAATTAATATGTCAAATGTGACATTTAATTTCATAAATTGTCTGTTCCCATAATGTATCGTTTACTTGGATACAAAAACAACAAAATTAACCTATAAAATGTCATTTACTAAGAAGGTGAAAATAAAAAAATTTAAACAATAATTTTAATATATATTTTTGACTACACCCGCTAGATGGCGCAGTAGTCACGCAACAAAACTTTAATACTAAGTTGCCTATCTAACTAACCCCCCGCCCACCCAACCAATCCCTTGTCTATGAACAAATTTAGCATAATTAAATGATTATTTACCTCAATTAAATGATTATTCAATAGTATTCAACAATGCTACAATAGTGTGTAAAATTTAATTCAATTATACAGAGTGGTCCCAGAGATTCTATTTTTTCAATTTTACCGTGCTCTAAAGTTTGACAAAATTATTAACTTTAATAACATTACCAAAAAAACGAATTTTAAAGTATTTATTTTACTGTGACATACGCGTCATGCCTACTACACAAATATGTAACACAATAATGTGATTATTTTTAAAATCGGTGATTTCGTGAAATTTTCTGGTCTCACTTGACGTGGCTTGACTATATATTGTTATTTTAGTTCTAGATTCATTATATTAAAATCATATCAAAATAGTATATTGTTGAACGATTAAGATTAAGTAAGTCATTTCTCAAAAGTTCAACACTAGACTTTTTCTAGTTTTATGAAGGAATTTAGTACAATTTTGTTTCATAAGCATAACCACAGATTCGATGACAAATTTCAGTCAATTAATTAGGAGAAAATTAAAATCTCGTCGTCTTATTGGACAGTAACCGTGAAGAAAGAACAATTTTTTTCCACAGTATAAGCCACTTTAAAAACGTTTATAAAGGGAATGCACACATTATTTAATATGATTAGAAAAAATTATTACTTTATGTTCAAGGAAAAAAAATATCCTCAGGGTGCCAACGCTCCGTCAGGAGGCATTTTTTGATACATTTTTATTGAACAAATTAGTGCTTTTTTCCAATGCAGATTGAACTGTTTGGCCCCTTAATTTCGGGACACCCTGTATATATATTGACAATGATTTCTTTTATTGTTTTACTTACTGTTTTTGATAGCTTCTTCCAATATAGCAACTTTTCCAGTTTTTTTGATGACTGAAATGTTCTTAGCATCAGCCGAGTCAACAGCAACTCCTAGAAAAAAATGTGTTGTTGTTTTTGGTTTTAATTTTTTTTTATATATTACCGGCTGAATCATATCCACGGTATTCGAGACGTTTAAGTCCATTAACTAAAAACTCTAAAATTTCAGAACGTTTCTTGGGGGTGCAGTAGTTCAAATAAGCGAAAATTCCTAAAAAAAAATATGAACTAAAATCAACTTCTTTCCTATTGCAATTGAATCATTTATGTTTAATGTAACGCAATATGTAATAAGTACACTGATATTCATTTAAATTCTGTGCATTAGTTTTTTACAGTTAAATATATTTATATATTTATTTTTGCCATATTGTAAAAATTTAAAAACTATCGTTTTGGGATTATTTTAATCTATAAATGCGTAAAAAAATAACAATATTTTATTTAATCTAGGTATGTATGTACAGGGTGATCCCCTATAATGTCGCCCCCCTTTAACTTTTTTTATTTTAAGTGTCCCAAAAAAATTTAAAGTGTGGTTATGTAGGAACTAAAAAATACTTTTTTTCTACGTATAAAGAAAATTCGAAAATTGATCAGTATACAGGGAAAAACAAAAAGTTAATTTTTTTTCAATGGATCACCCTATATATGAATTTATTTTTCGATTCCTTGTAAAATTCTAAGCATATTTCATATATCATACCATATACCTAAATTCAACCGTTTCTGAAATATTTAAATTATTTTTAAGATAATAAGTTGAAATAGTTTGTCTTTCTCTGTCTGAGTACGCCATTTTTACTTATTTAACAACACTTATTGACATAATGTCACTATAGTAATTTATTTTCAATAAAAATATTGGTATACTGAGGCTTCTTGATTTTTAACAGTTTAAAAAAAACATTTAATGATGACATTTCGAATAATAAAATTTCAGAAACGGTTGAATTTAGGTATATGGTTGGTATATAAATTATGCTCAGAATTTTACAAGGAATCGAAAAATAAATTCAAATATAGGGTGATCCATTGAAAAAAAATAAACTTTTTGTTTTTCCCTGTATACTGATCAATTTTCCAATTTTCTTTATACGTAGAAAAAAAGTATTTTTTAGTTCCTACATAACCACACTTTTAAATTTTTTGGGACACTTAAAATAAAAAAGTTAAAGGGGGGCGACATTATAGGGGATCACCCTGTACAGGGTTATTCTGTATATTTAGACAGCGCCTACTGAGTTTATTATAAGAGATAGGAAAAAACTTTAAATACAAAAGTTGTAGGAAAATATTACGTGTAATAACAAATAAATATCGCAAAGTTAGTAAAAATACAAATTTGGCAAATCTTAAATGGAATAGTATAGCAAAAATGAATAGATCTTTTTCCCTGAACTCAAAAAAATATATAATATCGTTTTTTTAAATATTTGCATTTATTTTTTTTATTTGAAATATAACCTAGAACTAACTAATTTGTTAATAACTCATTTTTGCACTTGTACCCTTTTGCTTCTTACCCCTTCATATATAAAATGTATTCCTTTTAAATCGGAATTTAATGTTAATGAATAAAAGATAACTGGATCTTTATCATTTAAAAAGTGAAACGTTAATGAAAAAAAACGAATATTTGGGACCGACGATGGTATTTAAATTAAAGTGCATTTAGTCAAGCGATGAATTAAAAAGTGAATTATTTAAAGGTCAAATTTAAAACAAATTAAATGTACCTACATTCTAATTTAATTTTTTTATAAATACGACATTTAAAATCATTTTTATAATTTGAAAGGATAAATTATTATAAAATTTCCGTTTTAACCGATATATCAAGTTAATTACGCGCTAATCCGTAAGTTGAGATGTGCGTTTTTGTTAGTGTTGGAACCTACCCATGTAGGTATGGCTAAATGATAAGCAAAACAAGTAGAGGTACTTTCGATTTATGTTAATCTGGAAATTAAAATGACCAGTTCGACGTGGTTGTGTCCTTGACATTCTAAAGAAACATGCAAGTTAAATTCTTGCAAAAATTAACCATTGCAAAAAGCATTAACCAAATTCTTCAATATTCCAACACTTTTACTTTAGGGTGAAATGAAAAATAATAAAAAGTATTTTAAAATACCTAAGTAATACTTAGTAAGTATTAATATATCAATATATTGTTTTACTTTCTACTTTTAATAATATTTACTGTTTGATGTACATATGTATCATTTAAAAAATAAAATTTTCTTTAAAATTAAGAAAACGTTACATCTTGAAGATAAAATGGTGTATGCCATTCGGCCCAGAAGGTCTTTTGTGCTTTGGGCTACTACTATAAATAAATATTATATTATCTTAGGGGTCATTCAAGTATTACGTAACGCTCGAGGGGGGTGGGGGGTTCAGCACGAACGTTACGGTTTGTTACTGTGTGTTACGTAACGCAATTTATTTTTTAATTTACCAAAAAAAAATCACAAAGTTTAGCAATCCACGGCACAGCTGAAGGCTTAAATAAAAACCGAAAAACTACAGCATACTTAATTATTTACACTATAAGAACAACAAAATTATACATTATATAAAAATTTGCTAGTGTAACATAACAACTAAGGGGTCTAAAAAAGCGAAAAATGCGTTAGTTACGTAAGTAATACTTTAATAGCATTTACACATAAAATTTATATTAAACATTAAAACATATTTTTTACCCCTAAAAACTTGCGAAATATCTTGATGTTATTGATACCTACTTAATATTTTAATAGTGTTACCAAACTGGTTTCAAAAAACTATTTTGATGAATAATTTTTACATGTGGGTTATGAAAACTTCTATTGGTTTTTGTGATTTATACTTATTTCCTTAAAAACTTTTTTTGACTAAATAAAGTAACTTTTAATTGATTATAAATTTTCTGTTTTCTTTACCACGCAAATCAAAAAAGATATATTAACATATAATATTTAAGTACCTACATAGAATATGATTCCAAACATTTTATTGAACAAAAATACAACCCAGGAATTTTATAATTTTTTATCTGGCCATGGCAGTGCGCATGCTTATAAATTTCGTTTCTTAAAATGGATTAGAGAAGACTAGGAAATATCCTGGTTAATATACAAACGATCATAAAAGTTTGTTAATTTAACCATGTTGGTATTTAGCCTAAATATTAAAAATGCATACCTACCTACCTAGTTCTTCAAAGGTAAAATTACAGTCTTAAATTTTAAGAACAATTGGGATCTTGAACAACCTTAATTATCACAATTATAAGTTTTTTTGTTAAATAAATCCTGTTTACCCTGATGAAATCAGAATAAGGAAACATTACAAAGGTTACACCTTTTACTCTGAACTGCCCTACCCTAATGTAAAGAATAAATTAAGCTGTAAGTATTTCCTAAGTTTGCAGCCTACAAATTGTAGGTCTAATACAGGATACAATTTTTTTAATGTGCCAAATAATTGTTTTAAAATTAATAAATTTCGTTTATTTTAAAAGTTAGTTTAAACTACATATTTATCTAAATCCCTTTAAATCTAGGCAATTATTAGATATAAAGATAATGCTATTCACTTTCACTTATAAATTTAGGACTTATTATTGTGTAAATCTAGACATGTATTATATAATTTATTAGTAACATTAATTTTTTGTGGTAGGTATGGCATTTATATTTCAAAATACCTAGGTAACTCTTAAATACAAGTATGTAAGTAGGTAGGTAACAATACAATTTCTCCAAAAAAAAATATATTCATGCCTGGTCAAATAAAGCTGGAATAACAAATCATACTCTAATAACAATAAATAAAACACAGCCCTACTAATTAAAACAATAACAGCAGATTAATAAAAAGTTTTATATTTTGTTGTTTTTTTTTAAAAACACAACAAAATATCTAATACTTTGATTACAGGCAAAATTAGGTTATGTCAGTAAATAATTTTAAAATTGTAACAATTTTAACTTACCACACATTGTAAGCCACGTCTAATCAACCAAACACACCAACAACAAATGTAATATAAAATATTACAACAAACTAAACACAATATTTAAAAACTAATGCTTTTATGTATACTCTCTCTTTAATCGTTGCCACATTTATGTTCTTAAATGTCAAAGTAAAAACTATATCGAAATACAAATTTTACTCTAATTGAATTTTAATACGAGGTAGTATTTATATAGCAAATTGTATGTTATCGAATATTTTAATCTGTTTGCGATAATTACAAATTTGAGAGTATGCATTTTTTAAAACAAAGTTTTTGGTATTGGCAACACTGCAAATACAGGAACGGGCTTAGAATAATTTAATAGTGCAACCTCTTGGTTAGACACTCCGATTACTTATTTTCATCATCTGTTGCGCAAGTGTAAAAAAATGTTGAGAGCTCCTGGTTTAAACAAAATGCGCATGCGCGTCTGTCATTTGTTTGTCTGTCAAATATTTAAATATTTGTTATGATTAAAGGTTATAATCTTTATAAACTCGTTATAAAAAACTTTCTACGCATTTTAATATTACTATTTTTATTATATGTTTTAATAATATTTTTCAATGAAGTGTTGTGTTGTGGGCTGTCCAAGCTATCATAGCAAAACAAAACACACAGGCGTAATAGTTATTTATGTATTAAGGGCATAATAAGGTTTTTATGGTCCGAGGCGCTATTTCGAGCCCGAGCGCGTTAGCGCGAGGGCTAGAAAAACGTCGTAGGACCATAAAATCCAGTTATGCCAACTAATGTCATAAGACGTCATTTTGTCGCACGCGGACAATTTATAAAACGAGCGACGAAGGAGCGAGTTTTATAATGGACAAGTGCGACAAAAGGTCTTATGACATGAGTTCTTTATGCTATTTTATCTATTTTGCAAACATTTCATAAAACAAATTAATTTTATACCTTATATTTAATTTAGTGGAATTTTACTTTACATAGTTGGTATCACATTTTGAAGTTTGAAGGGTCATTAACCTTTCAAACATTATCACATTCTTTCGCTATGGCGTCGTTAATTTACAATAAGTATTTACAATAAGCGGCTGTTAAAGAAGAAAAAAGGATTTTCTTTGGTGTTAAACAAAATTTATTGCACGAAAAGTCTCGTAAGTACTAGAAAACAAATCATAAAAATATTACCTATAACCTATAGGTATTCAAAATTGTATTTTACCAGTAGCCAACCTATAAAATCAAAATTTTGGGTGGAATAAAGTACCTCATTAAAGAACCAAAAGCGGTGTTATAATGAAGTCATTATGAAACCAAAATAGATAAAAAACTTTATGCACGATTAATATATTATTATTTTTAATATATTATTGTTTTTAAAGACGTTTACGTCAAAGAATTTTTGTTATATTATAATGTCAACTGACATCAGTCAGTTTTAAAGTTTAAAGATAAATGAAATTGAGGAAGCAGCTGAAAAGGCGAAAAATTGCGGCCTGCTGCCGGTAAAATCAAAATCTTTATACGAAAAAACTTACTTCGAATATATCAAATGGTGTAACATTGTTGTTTTTAATTTTTGACGTTTCATTATAGCCCGCTGGGCCATAATAACGCCCGCGGGCTATAAAAAGACGTTTACGTCAAAGAATTTTTGTTATAATTGTCATATTATAATGTCATCGTGCATAATAGTTATTTATGTATTAAGGGCATAATAAGGTTTTTATGGTCCGAGGCGCTATTTCGAGCCCGAGCGCGTTAGCGCGAGGGCTAGAAAAGCGTCGTAGGACCATAAAAACCAGTTATGCCAGCAATGCATACAAAACTTTATGCACGATTAATATATTATTATTTTTAATATATTATTGTTTTTTAAAGACGTTTACGTCAAAAAATTTTTGTAATAATTGTCATATTATAATGTCAACTGACATCAGTCAGTTTAAAAGTTTAAAGATGAATGAAATTGAGGAAGCAGCTGAAAAGGCGAAAAATTGCGGCCTGCTGCCGGAATAATCAAAATCTTTATACGAAAAAACTTACTTCGAATATATCAAATGGTGTAACATTGTTGTTTTTAATTTTTGACGTTTCATTATAGCCCGCTGGGCCATAATAACGCCCGCGGGCTATAAAAAGACGTTTACGTCAAAGAATTTTTGTTATAATTGTCATATTATAATGTCATCGTGCATAATAGTTATTTATGTATTAAGGGCATAATAAGGTTTTTATGGTCCGAGGCGCTATTTCAAGCCCGAGCGCGTTAGCGCGAGGGCTAGAAAAGCGTCGTAGGACCATAAAAACCAGTTATGCCAGCAATGCATACAAAACTTTATGCACGATTAATATATTAATATTTTTAATATATTATTGTTTTTAAAGACGTTTACGTCAAAGAATTTTTGTTATAATTGTCACTTTATAATGTCAACTGACATCAGTCAGTTTTAAAGTTTAAAGATGAATGAAATTGAGGAAGCAGCTGAAAAGGCGAAAAATTGCGGCCTGCTGCCGGAAAAATCAAAATCTTTATACGAAAAAACTTACTTTGAATATATCAAATGGTGTAACATTGTTGTTTTTAATTTTTGACGTTTCATTATAGCCCGCTGGGTCATAATAACGCCCGCGGGCTATAAAAAGACGTTTACGTCAAAGAATTTTTGTTATAATTGTCATATTATAATGTCATCGTGCATAAAATATTTTACATTCCCAAAGTCACCAAAAGTTTTGGCCAAATGGATAGAAGCCTGTGGTTTACAAAATAAGGAAAATATAAATTATGCACAAAGTGAGTATCTATACAATTTATACTATACATACAATGAACAAAATTTGAAATTAATTATTTCATTTGAATAAATAAATTTGAAAATAAATATTTCATTTACAATACTATGTGATGTTAATATGAATTAATTATGTTCAAAGCACTATTGTCAGTCAACTGATGACTTTCAAACCCCAAGAAGCATTTAATTACCAACAAGGGCACCACCACCTATTGCAATATCATGATATCAACAAAGCAAGTAAAAGTCGCATCTATAAGGACAGTTATTACTTACCTGGCACCATTATTTATTATAATCAAGTTTAAACTAAATAAGGTGGATTAGGGAACTATAATTTAAGGCATTACATTTTTTAATTTAGTATTTACTGTATTAAATACTAACTAAAATTTAGTTGTATCTAACCTAAAATTTCAACCATTTAAATTACGCGCCTAAGGTTACACTTAATGACGTCATCAGTGGCTACCAAAATGTGCGCCGTGTCTAACCACCTTCTCTACTAAACCAAGGTGCAACCTTATGTTCTGTGAGTGCAACGATCATGTGTGCACCGTGCTTCGAAGATCTTCAAAGAAGTGATGGGCAAAATTTGCCCGGCAAATTATAAAATAACCTGTACTTTTATCGTTCTAATTCCAAAATATTAGCACGTTTTTTTTGGTATAAAAAAGTTTAAATTAACTTGTAAAATACATAAAAATATACCTATTTTTAATTTTGACAGATTAGAGGTTATATTTTGTTCCGCATATTTCTATAACAAACCATAGAACCTATAAACAAACAAACTATAATGTAATAATAATAATATAATAACTATAATTTCGGGGAATTTAAACTACCCGCGGTAAGATAACGGCCGGTAAGCCCATGCTACTGCAGTAAGCCCAAGCTAGCCGGCCCGAATACGTTTTGCCGAATCGGCCGCGTGCGGCCCGACGCACGTATTTGTTCCGGCGCACAGTGGTCCCGGGAACCTGAAAAGTTGGCATTAAATGAAAAAATTAAACTGTATTTTAGGAAAGTAATTCACTTTATTTTAATTGCGCACACTCCCACGCGTGAGTTGGTAACACTGTTTTCACCAACGACTCTTTTTTATGCGTTCCAGAGCTTGTTTACAGAGCACGTTTTGGTGACGACAACACGTGGCTTTTATTTGCTTTATTCTATTCTTTGTTTTTTTTAGTGATAGAGTGTTAATTGAACTTAATCACCACATATTGTGATGGAGGCCTCAAGTTCAGGTATGTGGCGATATTTTACTATATTTAAACTAATAATAAAGCTAATAGTTTTTATATAACTTGTGTTAAAATAAGATATTGTAAAATTCTTTTATTTTTACGTTATTCTTAAAAATAGCGACACATTAACTTATGTTCCGAGCTTGACCCGGCTTTTATTTTTATTGCTTTTCGGAGCCTGTTTGTTGCTAATTACGAAACTATTTAAATTTGTTGCACATATTTGCTCTTTTTTTCATAATATGAGTTTTTTTACCCGCTTACATATTAGATTTACTTGTAACTAACTACGTAAATAATTCTAGAAAGGCAATTTTTATCTACTATAACCCAACCGATTGAGCTTAAATTTTGTACACATTTTGTTCTGACAATACAATCTAGTATACTATAAACTGTAATTTGTTCAAAATGGCCGCCGTGGCGCACCAAGATGGCGGACTACCATTTTTTATAACTTTCTTGATATGGGTATCAAATAAAAGGGTTTGACAAGTAGAAAACGATAAAATTCGTCACGTCACACTAATTTCAATATGGAGTCCGCGTCCACCTTAAGAATTACCTATTTCTTTACAACCTCCTTGACATTGGTATCAAATAAAAGAGTTTTTCAAGCATAATACGTAACTTTACTCCAATTTTAATATGTAACTATGTAATTAAATTTTAAGACCAAAAAGTAAAAATTAAACAATATTTTAAAAAACTAAAAACACGCGTTACCCACTAAAAAGTATTAAATAATGTGACAAGTTTAAGGTACCTAAGGTAAATGCTAGTTTTTTCTATATTTCTAACATTTACCTAGTTTGTTTTTTCTAGGAACAATGTCTCATGCCAAGTTTGTAACTAGGAAAGAGCTCGTTCATATCTTGAGAAGTTGTGGAAGCAATGAAATTGATAAACAATTTCATTTCTTGGAAGCTGAGATCATAAAACTAACAAATTGTCAAGAACGGCAATGTAAGGAAGTGCGAAAAATAATATCACGTTTCAAGGCAGAATATAAGTCGCGTTGGTCGAAAGCGTCCAGAATAAAGGACAGATTTGAAAGTAAAAATAAAGATTGGCTAGATGTTTCGATAGCGTTTCCAAAAAAAAACGAAAATAGGCGTGGGCGCCCAGAAGTGGATTTCGAGTCTAGCTCTGAACGAACAAAACGATTAAAAACTAAGGAACTGAGAAATTG